GCTGGAGTCTCGGCCAACGACGATGAGGTGCAGACTCTGTCTGGCAGCGTGAGACGGGCCCCGTCCGGAGCCCCCAGCACCCCCGGCACCCCCGGCTGCGTAGCTGCTGCCAAGGGCCCCGGCGCACAGCAGCCCAAACCCGCCAGCTTGGGCCGCGGGCGGGGGGCGGCCGCCGCCATCCTTAGCTTCGGCAACGTGCTCAACTACCTGGACAGGTACACCGTGGCAGGTGAGCGAGTGCCCTACCCAGCTCGATGACCAGGACGCACCCGCCCCGACCTCGAGGTACCCCGGATAGCTTTTGGTCCCAGGCCCTCTATATCTGAGCGCTACGTGGGGTCCCTAAGGGCCCTCTGCTCAGGCACGACTGGACAAGTGATGCCCCTGTGCTTCCCGGGCCCATCCTAGATACCTCTCACCCCACCCAGGGCCAGGGGTTGGCGGAGTCCCCACCCCTGGAGCAGCCCGCGCGTCCTCGCCAGCCCTTGACGGCCCATCCGTTGTCCTCTTCTCCGATCTCCTCTGCGTCTCTCTGCGTTCTTGTCTCCGCGCCCCTTCCCGCCCCAGCTGCAGGTTCCCGGGCCTCTCCTCCCCTTCCCCCAGCCCAGGCAGCTCGTCCGTCTGGAGCCGTCAGTTCCTTCCTTTCTCTGCCGCCTCCACCCCACTGAGTGCGTGCGGCGAGTGCGCGTGCCCCTTGCGGGTGTGCGCTAGGGAGAACGGGTGTGTGCACGCGTGGCGGCGCGGTTGTGTGTGTGTGAGCGCGTGGCTGACAAAGGCTCCGGGCTGCGGGAGAGGAGGGAGGGGCGGGGCGGGTCCGCGGCGCCTGGGGACCCAGAATGCGGTTTGCAGCTGGCCTTGGATAGAGGCTGAAGACGCCTTTCCCTGCTCTATGGTGCTTGGGGACGGGGGTAGGGCGCAGGCCTCTGGGGCTAGAGACTGGCGGCCTCAACGTCTGAGAGCATCCGTGGGAATCAGCCTTGAGGACGGGATTGGGGTCGATAGAAACGACTGGATTCTAGTCCCAGATTTGCTCTTAATGTGTTTGGTGTGTGACCTTGGGCCAGTCTCAGCTTGTGTATAGTTCTGTTTGCCCATTTGTGAGTTGAGTGCTCCCTGGGCCTTTTGGAGGTAAACGTGGTTCTGAAATTCTGTTCTGCTGGCTCCCCTCCCCAACTTCTTAGGGGTCTGGGGGTAGGAACTTGCCCTAGACTGAGCTGCTCCTGGTTAGGAATGGTGCAGCCTTGAGCGGAAAGGACTCTGACCAGGCTGGCATAGGTAGGGCCTCCCTGTAGGGGGAGAGCAGTGCTGTGTACCTGGCATGCTGGGTCAGAACCTGCCTAATCACAGTTTAGTAAAATCTGGAGCTACCAAAAAAACCCAAATGTATAAATGAGGGGGGTGGGGAGAGAGAGCGAGCGAGTGAGAGAGAGCAAGCGAGCGCGAGCGAGTGCACACTAGCAGGAGAAATTCTAGATAGACTCTAAAAAAGCCCTGGCATAGATCACATGCCCTGGGTACCCTTCTCTGGTCCTCAGTCTCCCCCTGTTGAATGGAGTTTTGTGTCAGGTGGAAGGGAAGGATTTGGATAGGAGAGCAGAGGCTTCTGGCTTCTTCCTTCCCCGATTCCTGCTTTCAGTACCACTCAGTTCTCTGGCCCTCCAATGGAGGGAGTTGGAAGTGGGTACCAGTGGCACCGGTTTCTGAGTTGAGCTGTCCCCAAGAGACTCTTACTTTGGTCTGGTGAGCAGGAATATTGAGCACCCCCAAGTGCGCCAATCCCTGTCATGCATGTGTCATGCTGCCTGAAGCCCAGGAGTATAAGTGCCACCCTGTGGGGAAAAGTCAGAGAGTATCAAAGACCTGTAGTCAGTGCAAAATAGGCTTCTGTACACCAAAGAGGGAGCCAAGGCCCCTGCATCACCCTTGCCAAGACAGCTCAGAGAGTGACCGACAAAGGTGTTGTTAGACCTACCAGTCAGCGTCTGCCTGGGAAGAGGTCTCCCTACCCTCCCACAGCTAGGGAATGAATGGTCCTGCTTCTGGCACGGTCACATTTTCCAACTTGTTTTTTCCGGTCCCAGACCACCCCCTCTGCCGTTCTTAGGGGAACAGACTCTGCCAAGGGCAAAGCAGGAGAGGGTGGGATCAGAGAGTTCTGGTGCTTTTCTGCCCCCACCTCTACTTGGATCCTAGAGTCAGACTGTTAGAGTGGGAGAACGAGATAGAATTTCTGGTGAATTGGTAAGGGGAGGTGAAAGTAGTGGCTGAGAGGGGCGTGGAGCAGTTCGGGAGGAAGGCCCGGAAAGCCCTGTGCAAACACCCGCTTGGGCTGTGCATCCCTCCCTGTCCTGGCTTCTGCCCTGCCCCACCCCCAACACACAACATACACACATTTCCTCTCCGGATGAGCCTGGCTGCCCCCTCTCTCTTTATGGTAGATTTCCCCACCCTCCCCTTCCCCAAGTTCAGTTTTGGGAAATATTTACTATCTCTATGGTAACTCCCATGGCTTGATGTGTCTTGTGCTAGGGCCAGGGAAATGCTCATCCCAGGCCTGAGTTCACCTGTGACTGGGTGGCCCAGCTGGATAGAGACAGAGATGCAGAAACGTCACTGCTCAGTCACCTTTGATGTCTAAGCCCACCTGGCTCCAGCTTCCCTATCAAAGAATGGGAGGAGTGCCCACTCTCCCTCTTTAAATCCATCCTTTAAATCTGTTTTTTCGTGATATAGACTAGAGTATAATGCAACCCACATATTAATTTCAAATTTTCTGGTAGCCAGATTTAAAAAGCAAAAGAAATAGGTGCAATTAATTCATCCTATATTTTATTTAGCTCAATATATCCAACATATTTCAACATGTAATCAATAGAAAAGTTGTTAGTGGCTTATTTTGCATTTTTTTTCATACAACGTCTTTGAAATCCAGTGTGTGTTTTCCATGCACAGCACATGTCAATGTCACAGTGGCTAGGGAACCATCGGGGAGGATAGTGCAGGTGTAGAGTCTTGCTGCAGAGTCTGAGTTCAGGCTTTTAGGCTTACCAGCCGTGTGACCTTGAAGACATCACCTAAGCCTTCTGTGTGATCATTTTCCTTCTCCACATCCCGGGCTGTGTGGAATAAATGAGAATGGATCTACAGCACCTGGGACAAGGCCAGATTCCTAGGAGGGCTTCACAAATGTCAGCTGCCTTCTCTTTCATGCCTCTGCTCAAGCTG